ATCCAGGATATCTAAGAAAATCTTTTTCTTTTAGAAAAATTATGAAAGAAAAGTAAGCCATTGTCTTGGGTTTCTTTGCCTCAGCCTTAAGTGAATATTGTTGCTACATGGCTAATTAGATATTTGAAATGAATTACAATGCATGGAAAATGTTTATAAGTCCTTGAATGTAAGTGAAAATGCATCCTGACATACTCGGTAAGCAATTATTCCAATAGCCATATACATTAAGTGTCCATGTAATCACCGACTTACTACTTTATGTTTAACACTGTTTTTGTTTTTTTCTTTTTGGTTATGATATTCATGAGATACAAAGCTGATTATCACCTCTCATGCCCCACATGTGAAGGCCAGATCCATACTGGAAACCTGCACCTTACCACAAATTGTGTTTATACCCCATGTCCCCCACCCAATTATCCCCCAACTCTCTCCCCCTCCCCATTTTGCCCTCACTCTGCTTTGTATCCCAAGGTATATTCTCTCCCTCTGCAAGTCCAGTGCACCACTCTGGACTTTCTTTCCTTCCTTCTTTCTCTCTTAGCTCTCAGTTATGAGGGAGGGCATGCTTATCCCTCTGTGCTTTGCTTATTTCATTCAGCATAAGTTTCTCCAGGGTCATCCATGTTGTTTCAAATGGGAGAATTTCACTCTTTTTTTGGCAGAGTAGTATTCCATGGTACATATATACCACATTTTCCTTATCCAATCAACCATTGATGTAAATTTAGGTTGGTTCCATTTCTTGGCTATTGTAAACAGAGCTGTGATGAACATGGGAATGCAGGTATCCCTTTGACATGATGATTTCCAGTCCTTTGGGTGTATACCCAGAAGTGGAATTGCTGGATTGTATGGAAGATCTCTCTAGTTGTTTGAGGAAACTCCATACTGTTTTCCATAGTAGTTGTACTAATTTACAGTCCCACTAACAGTGCAGGAGTGTTCCCTTCTCTCTACACCCTTACCAGAATTTGTTATTCACCATCTTTCTGATTATAGCCAGTCTAACTGGGGTGAGATGTTATCTCAATGTAGGTTTAATTTGCATTTCCCCAATATCTAGTGATGTTGAGGATTTTCCCATATTCCTATTGGCCATTTGTATGTCTTCCTTTGAAAAATGTCTATTCAGCTACTTTGCTCATTTTTTAATTGGGTTATTTGGTATTTTTTATTGTGAAATTGCCTGAGTTCTTTGTATATTATGAATATTAGTCCCTTGTCAGATGCATAGTTAGCAAAAATTTTTTCCCACTCTGTAGGTTGTTGTTTCACTCTGTTGATTGTTTCCTTCACTGTGCAGAAGCTTTTTAGCTTGATGTAGTCTATTTTTTTAAATTTTATTTTGTCAATATACAATGTGGTTGATTATTGTCACCCATTACCGAAACCTTCCTCCCTCCTCCCTGTCCTCCCTCCCACCCAACAATGTCCTTTCTGTTTGCTTGTCGTATCAACTTCAAGGAATTGTAGTTGTTATGTCTTCTTTCCCCCCACCCTGGTTTTGTTTTGGTTTTTTTTTGTGCGTGTGTGTGAATTTATTTATTTATTTTTACCTCCCACAAATAAGTGAGAACATGTGGTATTTCTCTTTCTGTGCCTGACTTGTTTCACTTAATATAATTATCTCGAGGTCCATCCATGTTGCTGCAAATGGCCGTATTTCATTCATTTTTATAGCTGAGTAGTATTCCATTGTGTAGATATAGCACATTTTCCATATCCACTCATCCAATGATGGACATTTGGGCTGGTTCCAACTCTTGGTTATTGTAAAGAGTGCTGCGATGAACATTGGAGAACAGGTATACCTTTGACTTGATGATTTCCATCCCTCTGGGTCTATTTCCAGCAGTGGGAGAGCTGGGTCATATGGTAGATCTATCTCCAATTGTTTGAGGAACCTCCATACCATTTTCCATAGAGGCTGCACCATTTTGCAGTCCCACCAACAATGTATGAGAGTTCCTTTATCTCCACAACCTCACCAGTATTTATTGTTCAGAGTCTTTTGGATTTTAGCCATCCTAACTGGGGTGAGATGGTATCTCAGTGTAGTTTTGATTTGCATTTCCCGGATGCTGAGTGATGTTGAGCATTTTTTCATATGTCTGTTGGTCATTTGTATATCTTCTTTAGAGAAATGCCTACTTAGCTCTTTTGCCCATTTTTTAATCGGGTTGCTGGATGTAGTCTTAATTTTTTTTTTTTTTTTTTTTTTTTTTGCTTTTTGTGCTTTCAAGCTCATATTCATAAAATCTGTGCCCAGAATTAATTCCTGAAGTGTTTCACCTATATTTTCCCTTAGTAATTTTACAGTTTCAGGTCTAATACTTACGTCTTTAATCCATTTTGAGTTGATTTTAGTGTATGGTGAGAGGTGCATATCTACTTTCATTCTTCTGCATATGGATATCCAATTTTCCTACCACGACTTGTTGAGGAGGCAGTCTTTTCCCCATTGTATATTTTTGTTGCCTTTGTCCAATATCAGATGGCTGTAAGACTGAGGGGTGATTTCTGTGTTCTCAATTCTGTTCCACTGGTCTGAGTGTCTATTTTTATGTCAGTACCATTGCTGTTTTGGTTATGATAGCTTTGTAGTATAATTTGAAGTCAGGTAGTGTTATGCCACTGGCTTTATTTTTTTTGCTCAGGATTGCTTTGGCTATTCAGGGTATTTTCTTGTTTCATATGAAGTTAAGATTGTTTTTTCCATTTCTGTGAAGAATGTCATTGGTATTTTGATGGGGATTGCAAGTGATTCCACTTATTCTCTGTTCTTAAATTTCTGAAACTTCTGCACAGATCAATGGATACCCAATTTAAGAGACTGAGTGATGTACCATATACCACTATTTTCTCCCAGGATGTAACATTCAGGTAGCACGTTTGTGTATATATGTATGTATTTACATGTTCTGTTTGCTTTTTCTCTCTGCATGATGTCTGATGAACAGGAAAAACCTGGAACAGAGAGGAGGGTGATGAATAGGAGAATTGATTAGATATTGTGATACAAAATTCCCCAAGAGGGGATATATATCAAGGTGAGTCTATTGTGACAATTCATGTACATGTGGGTACATGCACTGCTATAACTAATACTTACTGAGGCTTAGTCACTGTGTTTATGGAATTAACTTACTTAATCTCCATAGTAACCTCATGAGAAATCTCCTTTTACAAATGAGAAAAATGAGGAATAGACAATGTATGTAAATGCCAATGTCAACCCAGCATTAGATGGCTGTACTAAGATTTGAACTCAGATAGTATATTTTCAGAATGTCCTTAACCACTATGCTACTCAGTATGTAGTTGAATGGGTGTTTCTCTCCGAGGGTGTACAGAAGTATTTGTATATGTGAGAATATACATTTTGTACATATTTTGTGAGTATCCCTGGTATATTTGTTTGTTGATAATAATTTGGGACATATAAAAGCATACTTTTAATATATATACTGGCTTCAAACATTAACATGTTGTGAACAATGATGTGGTATAAATAAACGCAGTAGAAACATAACTTCAGGTTACAATAATGAACAGTCGACTGCAGAACAGTCAAAGAGAAATCTCCCCATTCTCTGTCCTTTTCAGGAAAAAACATTATTTAGATTTTTGTTTGAAGACATTTAAAAAAATCCAAATTGCACTACACCCACAGAAAGAGGGAGGAGTATTTTGTCAGGAGCTGATAATTATTAGATCAAGAGAAAAATAACTGTCACAATGGAGATTTTTGAGGGAGAACAGATTTAACTTCTGGAAATAGAAAATGCACCAATGGGCAGAATATAATGTCAGTCAGAGTAAAGCTTAGCATTTAAATTATTTTTGTTGCATAAGAACTTAATAATTGTTAGAGGTGGTACATAAAAAAGTAAGCAAAAATGAATAAAAACATAAATTTCCACATCATGTGTCTGTATTTGAGGTTACTCTCAGGTAGAAATCATCAAGTAATTCTCACTGGAATGGTATAAGTGCTATCATAGAAGTTATAGAGTAATGGTATACAGTGAAGATGGAATGCAACTAACTACTACTGGGATGAAGGAGGGCAGAAGTTGGCCAGAGTTTTCCGACAGGAGAGAAAGCTATGCTGGAACTTGAACATAGACCATTCACTAGGTGGACAATCAGGAAAGGACATGTCAAGCCCCCATGTGAAAATGAGCAAAAAGAAAAGGAAATATGTGCAGGACACATACTAATGGATGCAAGTAGTTAGCTATGACTATAACATGAGGTCCATTTGGGTATTGACAATATTATCTGAGCAGTACAACACAGATGTGATGGGAACGGCTGTGCTGCTGTCTTCCCATGGCTGCTCCTTCGTGTCTTTCATACCTTAGCTCTTCCTCCTCACTCTCAAGAACCTCCTCTGACCACCTAATCTGAATAGGTCAGTCACCAGGACATACCCTGGTTTTAATTTTCTGCATTGCTGCAAATATTTCTTTATTGAATTTCTTTTTTTCCATTAACTTAATTTCTGTTTCCCTTCAGTAAAGTATAAATTCCATTTGGGGAGAAATGGGTTTTTCACTGCTAAATTCCAAAACCTATAAAAGAAACTGCCAAGTACTATGGGCTCAATACTTTTGAATGAATAGCTGAAGAAAGCAAGTCAGTAGCAACATAACTGAAGATAAATGGATAGATATGAGGGGTCTCTTATCTGGTAAGATTTGACAGGAGATTAAAGGAACGGATGAAGGGAGAATTGAACTTGAGTTAACATTTTTCTATTTTATGGGTGGTGGTGACTATATTGTCAAGGAATCAACTGATATGGTGAGTATACAATAGAATTTTCTTTGAGAAGGTATGAGAATGAGGGTAATATCTAAACTTTTGAATCTTAGAATCTCACCTAAGAAACTTAACTCTCTGACTTACTAAAGATTTTTAATATAGTCACTTATTTCTTTTCTTTGACGTAATCTATCTGGTGACTTTGCCATTCTCTTCTCCAGATCATGAGCCTCAATTGCTCCTTGTGGCAGGACAACAGCATGGCCGTCAAACGCTTTGCATTTGCCAAATTTTCTGAGGTCACTGAACAGTGTTTCCTTCTATTTACCCTCATCCTACTCATGTTCTTAACATCACTGATGGGCAATGCTCTCATAGCTCTTACTATCTGGACCAACCCAGTCCTCCACACCCCCATGTACTTCTTCCTGGCCAACTTGTCCCTCCTGGAGATTGGCTACACTTGCTCCATCATACCCAAGATGCTACAGAGTCTTGTGAGTGAGGCCCGAGGAATCTCTCGGGAGGGTTGTGCCACACAGATGTTTTTCTTTTCATTTTTTGGTATCAGTGAGTGCTGCCTTTTGGCAGCCATGGCTTTTGACCGCTATATGGCCATCTGTTCCCCACTCCACTATGCAACACGAATGAGTCGAGGTGTGTGCGTACATTTGTCAATGGTTTCTTGGGGAGTGGGGTGCATGGTAGGCTTGGGCCAGACCAATTACATTTTCTCCTTGGACTTCTGTGGCCCCTGTGAAATAGACCACTTTTTCTGTGACCTCCCACCCATCTTGGCACTCGCCTGTGGGGATACATCCCATAATGAGGCTGCGGTTTTTGTTGTGGCAATTCTTTGCATTTCCAGCCCATTTTTACTGATCATTGCATCCTATGGCAGGATTCTAGCTGTGGTGCTGCTCATGCCCTCACCTGAAGGCCGCCATAAGGCTCTTTCCACCTGTTCTTCTCACCTGCTCGTAGTAACACTCTTCTATGGCTCAGCTTCTGTCACCTATTTGCGGCCCAAGGCTAGCCATTCACCAGGAACAGACAAACTTTTAGCCCTTTTCTATACAGTGGTGACATCCATGCTGAACCCCATCATCTATAGTTTACGGAACAAGGAAGTCAAGGCAGCTGTCTGGAGGACCCTACATTTTCTCCCTTTTAAGGAATGCCTTTAGTAACAGTGATGGTCATTTTGGAGTCATCTCTGTACTTAGAGCTGAAGTTCTGATTGCCAAAATGTGAAAGAAAGCTGGCTAGTAAAGAATTTGAGTAGGGGAGTCCAACATTAGACACATTATCCATAATATTTTAGTCTAGGCTTGTTGTATAAATTACCAGGTAATGCTTCAGCAGCCTGACAAAATCTTAGTCTTCTTTCAGGCATTTTCTAGCCCCTGAGGGGCCTATTTAACTTCTGCCCTGGTCACAAGAGTGTGTGTTCCCACACAGGCTATTCCCATATGACTCGCAATTCCCTAGTAACTCTATGAAGTGCATTATTTTCTTCATAAAATAAAATTCTTCAACTAATTATTGCCACACAATACAGAGTCAAAACATTGTTTTTGTGATTTTCATCTACTACAAATATATGTAAACATTTTTTAAAAAGCAACCTTTTAAGTTTCACATGGAGAAAATGTCTGAAAAAGAAAGAGATAAGGGGTGTCTCCGGGCCAGTGCAAGCACTCCCTACCAAGTCTGGCCTGACCCTTAAAATAAGCTCTGAAAGACCTGAGGGCTCTTCATCACAGAGATACAGCTGAGTGCTCCAAGTTGCCTTGGAGACACTTTTCTGTACAGCAACACGGTGGCACCCATTGACTCTTAGAAAAGGAGAACTCTTTCCCTTTGCCCCGAAAGGGGTGTCTTTTATGACCACAACTTAGATGGGTGCTGTTTTCATGATAAGAGTCTGGGAAGGTGGCGTGCACTTTTCTGACCAGGGAAGCGGTGAGGAAGAGAATGTCTGTGGCACATCAGATGTCACCTGGGTGGTTACTGGATCATCTTTCTTTCATTAACAAAATAAACTATCAACTTTATCAGCATTGTGAGTCTAGCTGCAATAAAAATGAGCTCACTTCTGTCCCCTTTGATTCTCTTCAAATGGATTCTATGTCCTCTTTTGGAGCCTCTGCTACAATTATTGCTTCTGACTCTGTGAAGTATGCATAAAACAAATGTACATCACAAGGCCTGGTTTTCCAAAGCCTTGCAGGTTTAAATACTGACCTTGCAAAGGACAGGAAACTTTCCCCAGGCTATAGTCTCTGCTGTAAGATAAAGAATTGTAACACAGCAAGGTTGCTGGCTCAAAGACAGACAGGTTCCTGATTGATATGTAAAGATACTGGGAAATTGCTGTAAGAAGAGAATGTCTGCTAAGATCAAGCTTTTGTTGGTGGATCAACTTAACTTCTTGAAAATTGCATTATGGAATGCCTATTGTTAAACTTGTTAAACTATGCTTAGCAAAAACCCCACCTATGTTCTCTTCCTGAAACTTCCTGGTCTGGAGAATAAATGTAGGAAGAGAACCCCAATTCGTCATTAATTTCCCAAATGGAAGAAATGCCTCTATCTTGAGGGTTCTGGGAGATTAACCCCCTTTCAGGGCTTCTCTAGGCTCAGAAGAGTTGGGCTTTGAGTAATCTTTGACAGCTCCATCACCCAGTGGAAAAGGGATGATGAATCCATGGAAGGCAAAGCAACATGACTCTACCCTAAGTCAGAGAATGATGATGGAGGAAATCATGAAGTGTTCATACAAAAATACATTTTTTGATCTGAACTATTTGATGTAACCAAGTCTTATATAACTTCAGCAGTTCACAAAGAATCCCAACATAGTAATGAAAAGGAAGATCTAACGAATGGTGGTAAAAAAAAACAAACAAAAAAACCCCTCCATTTCTATTATTGGGAAGGAGAGTAAAAGATGTTAATAGATCTCCAACATAACCAGCGCCACTTTAGACAAACCCAAGTACAAAATGGCGTCACCCTCCTCCTCCCCTCCCCTACCCCTTCCCTTTAGGAGAAGCCTCCTGACTTAAACAGAAACCCATTTTCCTTCCGCAAGGATGCAGTTCTCCACCCTGATCCACATTAGCATAATGACCCTCCTTGATGGTATCAGGCAGCCCTGGCACACTATATAAGCTCTACCACCCCCACACCTGGTGCTGTCCCCCATTTTCAGGACAGCCCTGGGCCCTGTGCTACTCTGAGCATAGCCCAGCAGATTTCTTTCTTTAATAAAGCTTGAACAGTACCCAGCATCTCGGCTCACTTTCTTTCAGATGTATTGTTTTCAATCAAGGTGAATTGGATGCTATGGAATACCATACAAAGATCAGGGAGCTGATTTTGGATGGATCTTTACAATTAATCCAAGAAGGTCTCAAAAGTGGTTTTCTTTTTGAAAAACGGGACAAGTGTAGTGAGCCCATTACTTTATCACTTGATACCTGCAATTTGTCAGAATTTTGTGAAATGGCCAAGCATTTGCCTTCTCTGAATGTAACAGAACTTCAAACATTGCAATTGATGGAAGATGATATGACTGTGCAGAGGAGGATTTATTTTCATGGGTTGTTGAAAACAACTCCAGATTTACAAAAGTGATTGCTTTAATGGGACAAAAATGCATATTGCCACCAAAAAGCAGTTTTCTTTTGTCTGACCTCTCTTACATGCAGCCACTTCTGAACTGTGGGAAAACATTTGATGTAATTGTGATAGATCCACCATGGCAGAACAAATCAGTGAAAAGAAATAACAGGTACAGTTATTTATCACCACTGCAAATAAAGCAAATACCTATCCTTGAATTGACTGCACCAAACTGCCTTGTTACTTGGGTGACCAATGACAGAAACACCTACATTTTGTAAAGGAAGAACTTTATCCTTCTTGGTCTGTGGAGATAATTGCTGAATGGCATTGGGTAAAAATCACCAATTCAGGAGAGTTTGTGTTCCCATTAGATTCTCCACAGAAAAAGCCTTATGAAGGTCTTATACTGCGGAGAGTTCAAGAATAAACTGCTTTACCACTAAGGCATGTACATGTAAAAGTGCTCCCTATTCCAGACAACAAATTGTCAGCGTGCCCTGTACTCTTCATTCACATAAGCCACCCCTTGCTGAGGTTTTAAAAAACTACATCAAGCCAGATGGGGAATGTTCAGAATTGTTTGCTCAAAATTTACAGCCAGGTTGAACTAGTCATGGCAATGAAGTCCTCAAATTTCAGCACGTGGATCATTTTCTTGTTCTGGAGTCTGAAAGCTGACTATGGTTTTAATTAAAGCAGTGATTTCTTCAGTAAAAGAAAAAAAAAGAAAGAAAAGAAAGAGATAATGTTAAAATGCAATTATGGAAGAAGAAAATTGAAATAAAAATAATTAACATAATTATTAATATAAAAATTTACTCCTTTTTAAAGGTAATTTACAAAATTTACATGTGTACTGATGAATCCTGACAATATATTTGGAGATTATCCAGAAACTTGCACTTAAGAGAAATGAACATTGTTACAGCACAACTCAGTACTTCTAGGCACCTGTGGTGACACTGCTTTGGATTTGAACATCTAGTTCTCAGGGAGATGCTGTATTAACCTTTGATCTATGAGAAACTAATAGCTACTCGTATAGTAGTAGTAATATGACAAACAGTGGACAACTGTGACTGCTTCCATGACTTAATTTAAGGTTATCTACCAAATAGAGAGATTTAGTCCTCTCTTGGAAATTGATATTTCCACTATTGGAGGATAATAGTGATGCTCACTAATGACCACATAATATTTTGTGGTTTTTATTTACACGTGTGTATAGTAATCAATAATGGCAACAATCTGAACATGCAGAAACTACTGACTGGTTAACAATTATGCTAGAATTATAGGATAAAATTATACATTTGCACTAGAGATGATAACTTATGTCTGTTTATTAGTCAAGAAAATAATGAGTAGTTTATTAAGCATTAAAGCAAGTTCAAAAGAATTTGTTAATATGAGCCCTTTTTTTTACTGTGATTTGATCATTACACTATGTGTGTATATATATATATATATATATATATAGAAACCACATTGTATTCCACAAAAATTTATAATTATTATGGGACAATTAAAAATCAAATGAAATAAGAAAAAGAACTTTATCTTCCACATATGAGTGAGAACATGTGGAATCTCTCTCTCTTACCTGGCTTATTTCCCTGAACATAATTTTCTCCAAATTCATCCCTGTTGCTGCAAATGGCAGAATTTCATTATTTTTAATGGCTGAGTAGTATTGCATTATGTTTATATATCACAGTTTCTTTAATCATCTGCAGAAGGACATTTAGGTTGGTTCCAACTCTTGGTTATTGTGAATACAGTCATTATCAAAGGGAGTGCAGGTGTGACGTCACCTTGTTCATTTACTTTCCTTTGGATATACACCCAGGAGTGGGATTGCTGGATCTTATGGTATTTCTATCTGTTGTTGTTTGAGAAATTTCCATATTGTTTTCTACAGTGATTGTTTTACTAAATTACGTTCCCACCAATGATGTGCAAGAGTTCCCCTTTCTTTGTATCCTTGCCAGCATTTGTTATTTTCTGTCCTTTTGATAATAGCCATTTTAACTAGGGTGAGATGATATCTCATTGCGGTGTAGAAGCTAAAATAGTTGATCTCGTAGAAGTAGAGACTAGAATAGTGGTTACTGGAGACAGGTGGAGGGAAGATGAAAGGAATGATGGGGAGAAGGCGGTCAATGAATACAAAATAGTAGAGAGGAAGAATGGGTTCTAGGGTTCTACAGTAATATAGGGAGACTACAGTAAATAACAAAAAACTGTGTATCTTTGAATAGGTAGTCAGGATGATGTTGAATGCCTCTAACACAAAGAAGTCACAAATGTTTGAGGTGATGGACATTTCAAACACCATGATACGATCATTGCACACAATGTTCCCAATATCATGTTTTAGTCCATAAATATGCACAATTATCATGAGTCACTTAAGAAAAATAAATTAAAAAGAGAGAAATAGAGAGTAGAATATTAGTTTACTAGAGACAGGGAAAGGGAGGGGCTGGGATGGGGAAAGGATGGCAGACATTACAAAATTATAAAGTTACAGCTAGATGGGGATAATAGGCTC